CTTTATAGCTATTTTTGAAATTTGAATGGACTATGGACACCGAACGCGTCTATCATCCTGTTATTTACGCAAGAAAAAATGAGAGAAAGCCGCATATTGTTGCATTTAGGTTTCAGTAATTGTTGTTGATTCACTTTGGCGATAATGTTTGGAAAAATCAAAAAACTAGTGTGGCCTTCAAGGCATAATGATTGCTACTCATTCTAATCTAAATACCGGTGAAAAATACCGTCTATGTCAACTGATGTGGATGCTTCACCTTGAAATAGAACATTTCTTTTGATGTGATTCTCTAGAAACTTCATCGTCTTAAAAGCAATGAATGCGATTTATAGATCGCGAGATCAGACTTCCTCGACTGTTAACAGAAATAGTAAAAAACCTAGAATCAAGCACAACAGAATAACGAAATAATGAGTGTCCAGAAATAATAAATCTCTCAGTATTTTGCTGATATCTCTTTTAATATTTATGTAGTCAGACTTTATTTTTTATGAAAAACATCGCCTTTTAATTCTCTACAAAATTGTATTTTTTTTTTGTTAACGTAAATAGCATCCATTGTTTTCCAAAATACAGTTCAAACGAACAGCCTAGGAAAAAATATTTCTCAAAACAGATTTTTATCGAATTTTGCAAATTGCAAGTTTTTATTCTTGAATTAAGGTTTCTTTCAATGTTATTTTTTTCGAATTGATGAGAGAAGCAATTTCATCTCAAATCGAGTGGTTCAATATGTTCATATCTGGAATATGAAATGCTCGATATTTCTTGTCCATGAGAGAGATAAATTTGTTCTTGTATCTCTATTGTGTTAATTGATGAATGTCAGGTTTTGTATCATCCAGTTGACATATTCAATTTGATACGAGGCGTGAGGTATTACTTTTGAGCAAGAGCATCCGATCGTGCTCAATACAAACAGAACGTTCTTCTACTAGCACTAAATTATGGAAATAATATCTTCAGAAAAGATTGAATATGTTAACTGCACGATATGAAACCTGGCATTCTTCATTTAACACAATAGTGATGCACGAAAAACTTTTCTCTCTTATGGACGAGAAACATTAAATTAAAATATATCGACCACTCAATTTGAGACGAAATTCTCTATTTCATCAATAGAAAAAAAGTAACACCGAAGAAAACTCTAATTCAAGAATAAAAACGTGCAATTTGCAAAATTCGATAAAAATCTGTTTTGCAAAATACTTTTTTATGGACTGTTCATTTGAACTGTATTTTGGAAAACAATGGATGATATTTACGTTAACAAAAAAATGCCATTTTGTAGAGAATTAAAAGAGGAAGTTTTTCATAAAAAAACACACAATCTGAACTAATAAATATTAAAAGAGATGTCACCAAAATACTGAGAGACTCATTATTTCTGGAACACCCATTAAATCAATACAATGACTATTTGGCTGCAACTGAAGATGATGAAAATGACATATGATGCAAAAGTAATGCGACAAATCTCGGGCCTTATTGAGCAGTCATTCTATTTCGCAAAGTTGAACATTGCGGAACCAGTTTCGACCACGGAATCGTTTCCAGCGACTCCGGAATCGAATACAAACTGAGTCCGCAACAATTCCTAGGACCATCCGATTCCAGTCAGAAATTCCGAATTTGAGGGGAACAGGAATCGGTGGGAATCGCTAGGAATTCCCGGAAATTCCGTCCAATTTCGTATAATTCCGAAATTACAACTTTTATTATTTTTCTATTATCTTGTATGCCGCCATGGTTGAGTGGTTACGTTGTTCGACACGCACCCACAAGGTACTGTGTTCAAACCTCGGTATCATCACCCATGGAATGACCCTGGACAAGTCACTAACGGCTAACTTGTCTCAAATGATTCATTCCACATGAGTCATCCGTACTGGCTACATCTTTAGTCAGTATGTTGGACGGACGAGGGTACAGATACCGCCGTCTATAAAAAGAAAAAGATAAAAGAACCCGGCTGCATGTGGAGATTAATAATAATAACCGTCGCCGGCCCCAACGGGCGATAAGCCTATGGGACGTTATTATTATTATTATTATGTGGTATCGATCCAGTTATGGTCGAAAATCTTGAAATCGGGTGAAAATGGAATGTATGAAAATCTTTCGAATGCGATTGTCGAGCCTAGGAGGATTGGGTAGGAGTTTTAGTGACTGATATCGTAGTCCGAAATCGTAATTGATTGGGATACGCTTGTGACATCTTAGGGTGTGGGTGTGGGTGTGGGTGTGGGTGTGGGTGTGGGTGTGGTGTGGGTGTGAGTGTGGGTGTGGTTTGTGGATACTTCTATTATCAGCATCGACACGCACACCCTCAAGGTATCCGGAATTCCGTCCAGGAATTACATCCAGTTATAAGCCTCAGCCCATGAGAGTGATACCAAGGCTGGGCGATTCCGGAATCGATAGATCTGTTGTAAATGATTCCGGAATCGGATTGTGGGGTGGTTGAATTTAATTCCGGAATCGGTGGAATAGATTCCGAGACGGAAACTGATTCCGGAATGTTGAACATCGCGGAATGGGATGTATTCTCGTACATGTGGGTGGAATGTAGTGTGGAGTATGGGCGTGACGGTGGGTGTGGGTGTGAAGATAGGTGTGAGAATGGGCGCGCATGTCGAGTGCCAATGCGGATCTGAGGATCTGCCTAGCTGGATGTGTGTGTTTGGGTGTTGCTATGGGGTGTGGGTGTGACCCTTCTAATCTCATTCACACACTGGAACGCCTACACCACACCATCTAGCCACTAAAGACGTGCAGCACGCTTAAAAAACGATGCGGAAGCAGCACCAAAGGAGATGTTAGCGTTTAAAGCAGTGGCGGAATTGGCCACCATCATAAAATCTTTTCACTGAGTGGCACGACCACTCCACGCTTCATGATTGACAGGGCTTGGAGCGGGCGCTCGACGCTCGCGCCTAACGGTAACTGAAAAAACTGCTTTCACCAATTTTGTCCTTATATTTGTTTCTCGATGATATTTCTTGTAAATGGCGTGTCATTTCTGAATATATATGTATGTGTGTGATGGAGATGCACTATAGGGTGTCCAGAAAAGTAACTCAACAAAGAAAAGTTTGAACACATATCTCCGCCATATTTTGACCAAATGTGCTGATATTTTTCCCACTGATAGAGGAGTATGCATAGCTCATGTTGATAAGAGAAATGTTGTCAAAAATTGATTTGAAGTAGTAGAATTAACTTCAACAAAAACCCGTAACCCTTCATGAGTTATGAAAAACCAATGTTGCAGTTTTGTCAATGGTTGAACTTTCAGAGTATACTGAGTAATAAGTCATGTATCTGTAGTATTAGTATGAGACCAAATGACACTAATGTGAAGAAGCAATAGAAAAAATTATATGTCGTTTACTCTTGGCTAAAGGAATCAATATGTTGTTTTTGTCATAACTCGGAAAATGTTACAGTTCTTTGTTGAAGTTAGTTCTACTACTTCAAAACAATTTCTGACAACATCTCTCTTATCAATATGAGTTATGCATACTCCGCTATCAGTGGGGAAAATATCAGCTCCTTTAGTCAAAATATGGTGCAGATAGATATTCAAACTTTTCTTTGTTGAGTTACTTTCTCGACACCTATAGTCTCACTTCGATTGTCTCATGAATAGGAGATGCTTATTACATCGAGCATGTGACATGGTATACGTCTCATATACATACTATCAAGGACAGAGTCGACACGGGGTAACCTACTCCTGGTTCCATATATGACTAGCCAAGCAGCGGACGAAACTAAATGGGAATGGAAACCTACCTTTAGAATATCGGCCTGTTTCATAGAATATCGCTCGGAATTCCTAGACCAGTTCGGCTGAAACACTTCATCAAACCTGGTTGGTGGCAGTGGCCATACTAATATTTGCCTTTTGGGTTCCTTGGGCTTTGGCAATATTTCAGGCCACGGTTCTAATGTTTGTGTTTTTGCCTCTTGGAACTCTGTGTATTTCTCAGTCGGTTGAGGTTTGCTTCGACAGCAGCCCATCGAACAGTACTAGAATCACTATGATCTAAACGAAAGAATCAGTTACTTTGTTTTGATGTCTCGACATTTTCCACGTAGTTCTCACATCTGCATATTTAACTGTTTCGGAGGATTTAGCTTCTTCGTCGGTACTCGACTCCTTGTCAGCTGCTTCCAAACGAATTTGCGAACTCATCTCTTACCTTTTTACAATTAAGATACACTTCTGCTGTTTAGACCATCGTTTTTAATCTCCTTTGTCTCGTCCTTTCGCGATCCTATATAACTACTAACTTTTCCTTTTGCGATGTTTTGTCAAACATAAAAGTCTACTGATACCAGCCTTCAAAGTACATCAGTCGTTGGTTATTTTTCTAACTTGTTTCGCGCAAAGGAAACTAGCTATTGAGGCGTACTCTCTGGGTACACAGACTAGTGTCCATGAATATAAACGAAGAGAAGGCATTCACAGCATGCAACTTATGTCGAGCATATCAATTGACAACGTATGCGATAAAAAAGCATGCATCTTCTTTGCCAAAAGATAAGGCGAGCCTCTTGATATTATCTTTGTAGCCAAGGCCATTGTCTTATCAGTTCAGTATCACCAACTACTGTTGTTGACGATCAGTTCTGTTTGAAGTGGGAAAGTGATATCAAAAGAGGGTGGGTGTGGGTTCGGGTAAGGGGCTGACGATAAGAACCACACCCCACTCGCACCCACACTTACACGCACACTCATATCCCCATCTAGAAAAAATTGAAGTGTTTTCAATATATTCAAATTTAGAAGAAAAGAAATAATAATATAATCTAATTTCATTGTTTTTATCAGGAAAAAGGCAAAAACCGTTCTATTAGTGAAGGATTTTTTTGAAGTAATGGAGCAATGTATGTACAATAGTATTGGATATGGAAAAATATAATGGGAGAGAAAAATGAATGTAGAGATGAAATGGAATCAGTTGATGCTTGGGTTTTCTTTATTGTTATGAGTTTCGATTTTTGACAAAGGGACTTCGACGACCAAGCTTTTTGCAAAGATTTGGATTATTTCGACTACCAATGATAAGTTTTGTTGTTTGAACTGGTGTATTATGAAATGTATCATTCCATAGTTGATGAATTGCTCGTTTATAAGGTGAAAAACGTTTTTCATGTATATCATGAAGAATAATAGAATTCTCTCGTTCTCGTCGTTTTAATAATTTTGCTTTAACTAATAAATCAATATTAGGAGGAAAATTATTATAATACATTGTTTTGGCAATGCGTAAAGCTCGTCTATGTTCATGAACAATTGCTTGATCTAATAATTGACGATGTAAAGCTAAAAATTCATTCTCATCATGTATCATAGGCAAGGGGAAAGAACAGATTTTTTTTGATTTAAATGAATTTTAAATCAAAAAAAATAAAAAATTCAAAGGTGTGAGTAGGGGTGTAGGTGTGAGTGTGGGGTATGGATGTGGGCGGGTGTGGGTGTGGGCGGGTGTGGGTGTCAAGAGAAGAGACACCCTCACCCACATCTCTCACCCACACCCACAGCCAGGGTGTGGGTGTGGGTGTGAGTGTGTATAAGTTACCATGATAACCTAATTTTAGATTATTTCGAATGTTACTAGAACTCAAACTTATCAAGTGGCCTTAGTATCAGTTGAAATGATTCAATTTTTTGAACCAAAAACATGACACCTAAAAATCAACTTAGTGAATTAGTAGATACACGTCCAAATAGAGTGAGTGTGTATAGAGTTACCACGACAACCTAATTTTAGATTATTTCTGATGTTTCTAAACTCAAAATCTTATCAAGTGGCCTCAGTACTAGTTCTAGTGGATCCAAAGAGACTTCGAATCCTAACATGATACCTGAAAATCTACTAAGGAGACCGAAGTTCTTAGTAGATGCACGTCCAAATAGCAATGGGTGTGTATAGAGTTACGATGGCAGTGTGTTGCAATGATTATTTCGAATGTTTTTCTGAACTCTATTTTGTCGCGGTGCGTTTCGTTGAGGTCGATCGGATGTCAGGTGTTTTTTTGTAGTGACTGTATTGTATGAACTGTCAATGGATGCTTTTGTTTGTGGTATTTTTACCTTACGATTTGTTTTTGATACATGGATAATTCATGATGGTTTGAGTTTGTTTGAGCAGGTGTTGTGCATATTGTTTTTTGGGCAGCATTGGTTGGATGGAGAATGTTGGTTTTGGTATAGTTTTGTTTTTTCCGGTGCGACGAAGTATGGTTTGATTTAGTTGTTTTCATTGTGTCAGGATCCGTTTTTGTTTTATTTTCTTTTTTAATCTGAAAAGTTATAAATGAATATGATAGTTTATTTCAAATGTGTTTATTATGCAGTAGTGGACATTTATTTAATATATGAAAATGACAATTTACAAGTAAATAGTTAGGAATGTCATTTCTGTGGTAGCATGTGTTTGATGAATTCCTGAAGAGGGTTTGTGTCGTTGCATGGTCTATGGAATAGAAAGGAATATGTTAAATAAGGAGTTGGTTATTGGTTGAATGCATACTTTGTAAGTATTTTGGACTCCTCCGGCAACGTCAAATAACTTGTCGGTGGCTGTTTCTTCACTAGATAGTCAACTGCTTTGTCGAAGAAGGATTGATTTTGCCTAACTGTCAAGTAAACATTTTGTGTTGTTCCATGGTCTTTTAAATATTGATTGAAGTGTGTATTGAATTGTTGTTCGATTTTCTCTATTGTACTGCCATCCATGTTTGGTATATAAGGAAGTTGGAATTGTAGTTCGGTTTCTTCGTTCTGTTGTCTTTGTTTTTCTTTTTTCTTTGCTTTTCGATATTTGCCATAGTTGGAAACATGGTCACGTAGGATTTCATAATTAGATCTAGTATATGGTCGGTAGACAGCCGTTGGATCAAAATCATGTAGAATTTCTTGATAGGCTTCATTGAAGATAATGTCAGATAGTTGGTGTCGATTAAGTTGCCACTTCATTTGATACCTTTCTTCATTAAAAGTAACGTGATCGGAACAATATCGGATAGCTTTTAAGAAAGATGCTCGTAGCCATTTTCATGTGTCTTGTTTGATTGCAGGTTGAAGAATATCCCGAAATGATGATAGTAACATAATCCGTTCGAATGTTTCTTCATGATAAACACTTGTTCGAAGAAGTCCATTATTGTTAGTTATGAGAATATCACGAAAATAAATGGTTGATCCAATATCAGTTATGTTCCATATAGGTTGTGAAAATTGTGAATTAGCCATAGAAAGTAATATACCAAGTTCATCTTCAGATCTGTTCCGTGTAATAAATGCTTCATCTCGATATCTAGATTGGCGAAGAGAAATAGAATATGATTTTCTAATTAAAAAATAGGATAAATACCTGAAAAAGAGTTCATTCTTATTAATAAGATCTTCTAATATATCTTGTTGCCAATAAAATAAATAGATATAGACTAATGGAATAAAGCCCCCGACACATTAGAAGACCCCCCTATATTAGAAGACCCCCCTATATTAGAAGACCCCCCATAATAGAAGACCCCCCTTGAATCAATGACGCTACAGACATATTAGAAGACCCCCCTCCTTCCGCTTAAAAAAACGACATTTTAAAATAGTTCCTGGATTTTATTGAATTGTTTTAATATTTAAATTCATAGTTATGTCTAAATTCAATTCGAAAAATATTTTTCTTTCATTTTTATAACAAAGTGTGAAATCTCAGTGAGTGAAGTATTGCGAAGTAGTTTATAGGCAAGATCTATCTATTAAAGATTGTGTTTCTTTGTTAACAGTATCTCGCGTAATCATTTTAGTACTCCTTTGCAACTTAATTTACAAATATTCTTCACTTTCTATGCGCGAAAAATATGCTTTTACCGAAAAAAGATCTAACGAGTACGAAACATTTTCGCATGTATAACACATGAAGAGACCTTTACAAATTAATAAAAGATTAGGTAAAATGTTGATGTGTATTAGCAAAACGACCTCTCTATATTTGACTTTCTTCGAGAGTAGAAGCGTTTAAATCACAAAACAGTTTTTCATAACTAAAGAAAATATAACTTCATGTAGGTACGTCATGGTTTTATGTATGAGTACTTCTTTAGAGTTTGCAAAACGAACCTATTTCTTTTCTACATAAGCCACAAAAGCATCTTCGATACAGATACAAAAGAAAACACTAATTGTATATTCAACCACAGATTTTCTAGAAATATTTTTTTATAAGACCATCATACTTATCGAAGTTAGCTTGAGATTTATAACTACACTGGCAAGAGATTTCACCATAAACGATTTCTATCTATACTAAACTTCTTCCATCACAGAATAGAGCCCCATTCGATGGGTTAGAACTCTTCGTTGACAGTCATGGTTCACATTATGAAAAATGAACCAAAACCGGTGAACAATCAAAGAATAAATATTTTTCTATCAAATAACATAAAAACTCTTATCGGGACATGCATCGGTACCAAGTTATAGCTTACGAAACAGAACCACATCTTGGACTTCTATTTTGTGCAAAGAGGAAGGGGAAAAGATTAATCAAGCTTTAACATTGGTAACTGAATTAAACGATTTTGATAAAAAAAAGTAACTTTCTTTTTTACACTTATTTAGTTATCAAGAAAACAAAATATTGCAATGATAGATATTAGCCTTAAAAAAGAACGCTAACAGATATCGCACCAAAATATTGGGATACAGTGACTGTATCCCCTAAGAATACTTATTATGCATCATGGTCTCCACCTTCTCACAAGATAGTATCTGTTTTTTTTACCCTGCACAAGTGAAACAAGTAAAACAAACTCATTTGTAAACGATATCAGGGACAAAAATCAAATGACAATAAAGCTTTTTGGCAAAACTGCCAAAAAATATGACCATTTCAAGGGACATAATAGAAGACCCCCCTTTCAACTTGTGAACGGTGAGACAGAATAGAAGACCCCGGGTCTTCTAATGTGTCGGGGACTTTAGTTAATGATGAACCAGAAGCACGACCAGCAGTTTGCCGATATAATGTATAATTGTAAATAAAATATTGTTCGTCGAGTACGAGACGAACAAGTTGAAGAATTGTACTAATTGTCATACCTTGAATAGAATGATCTGATGAGATGTAAGAGTGGAGGAAATGTTCTAATGCATCCATAACTTGTTGATGTGAAAAATTCATACATAAATCATTAATATTAAATGAAACAAATAGAGTGGTTGGTAGTAGATGACCACTTTTCTGATAGAATTCCATGTGATGTATAACATTATAAGCTTTATGTAATTTTTTACAATGAGTTGCATCATTAAAAAATAATCCAAGAAGACGACCAAGATAACGATTAATACCCATAATTGGTCCAGCATTACATACCATAATTGGTTGAACTGGAATTCCATCCTATATATAATTGCATGACAAGATAAACTATAGGATAGTGTTAATGAAAAAGATATACATACTTTATGTGTGTCTCATACGAAGTATAAATAATTCATTCGTACTGTAGATCGATTGATCTTGAAAGTCACAAGTAACGCTCGTCGTTACGACTCGCTTAGCCCTCGACTGAATCCAGTCCATTCATTATCTATCATTACCTTCTAGATTTCGTTGTGAAAACTATTGTTATATACACATACATATATGAAAAAACCGTATACTATTGTAGGAGACCACCACTTTCTAAAAATATTTCGCTTTTCAATTTTCTCCTAGGGTTTTCCAAATTTAACTGTAAGAGGTAGCTCACAGTTAGTCGCCGGTGTCAATATGAGCCACCATTCGCGACTGCTCGCTTTCGTATATGTCACCGGCATGGTTTGAAACAGTCCTTCACTTTCTTCTTAATCCTTTCGCTCTGTGATTTTTTGACAAATTGTTGATGTTCTTAACCATTGCATACAGTAACATACATTTCATTCTCATTTTTCTGCAATATCTCCTTCCGTCTGAAGCTACAACGTCAGCCCTTTGTCTGTCATTATCGCTATTCTTTGTTCGTAACTCCTTATCCCAGTCCATTTATCGAGGATCAAAACTCATATTACCGCACTGAGTTTTTCGCAGTTTTCAGACACTTTCAACCGGTGAGATTCGATCAATGAGCAATTTTATATAAATTCCGCCGGCCCAAGGTGTACCTTCGGCGAACCCGCCAGATCACGGGCTACTCGTTCGTCGGCGCTCCTTTAGGGTGCCACTCATGGCTAGCCCGTTTCATGTTTAAACCAACATTCCCAGTAAATCACCCTCTTTTCTTCGCATTCTAGTCGGGTCACGTTTGGCTTATTGTAAAACATTGTTGTATTTATAACAAAAAAATTCTAGCTGAGAAGTTCCAAAAACCATCGTTTCTTGTAATCAGTTCCTTACAGTTTTAATTGCCAGAGCTTTTGAAAAATCGATGTTCTACAAGCCATAGCTACCTGTAAATAAAGGAGAAAGGAAACTTCTAGACCGCTACAAGTACCGACTTCTCCCAATCTTGCAACAATTGATTGCAGCAAAGCCGTACAATAAGAAAATCTGACTAACTCAGTTTCCAGCTGAAAAAACTGGTTGAACAAAGCGGAATCGCGAAAACATTTCACTCACACAAACCTCAGCTTGATAGAAATCTCATTGGACAAGAGCGAGAGAGTGAAAAGATTTCATTGCTGAAGCTCTTGCGCAAAAACCTTATTGGACAAGACTCGGTCAGCGAAAACATATGATTCACTGGACTTCCTGCCTGTGAAAATCTGATTGGCCGCAAGCTCAATGTCGAAAGCGCCTGATTGGCTGGATTTTTGGGATGAAAAAATCCTATGGGCTGAAAGCCCAATATCGAAAACCCCTTATTGGCTGGATTTTTGGCAGGGAAAAATCCTATTGGCTGCAAGCCCAATATCGAAAACCACTGATTGGCTGAATTTGCGAGCTGAAAGAATCTCATTGGTCGAAAGGCCGATATCAAAAATCTCTGATTGGCTGAATTTCCAAGCTGAAAGTGCGTGATTGGACGAAAGGCAGATATTGAAGATATCTGAGCATTGATCTTTAAGTGGATGTTCTTTTGACCTTGCGACAAGCAAACAAGCAAACTATTTTTTTTCACATGACCCTCCCTTCAGTCGAGGGAATAAAAACAAAAGCTAACCATTCAGTCGAAGGTTAAGCAAGTCGAAGCGACGAGTATTACTTCTTCATAGACACTCACCCCAACGCTCTTGCCCTTAAAATTTCTATGCCTATACTCATGCACCAGTACTCTTACATTCTCAGTCACACACATGCGCTACCGGCTATATCATGGAGCCTATTACCCTACCATTACACATCTCAGGGTGAGTTACACTTTGGCAATAAGTTGTGCTACCATGTACAGATGAATGGAGGCAAAATTACAGCAACAATCTACACACATAACCCACATTTCACAGCCACATTCCCATACACACTCACATCTACGCACAGCGGCTCGCATACAACCAGATCCATCGAAATTCACACCTACATTCATACAGGCACTCACACATCTATATCAACATTCATACGTCTATCAGAATAACTACAACCAAAGCCTCAATTACGTCCTCTTCAAAATCTTTACATCAACACCAACAGCAGCTACAGACGCAACGACATCCATAGTCACTCTCACCAACAGCGGCACTAACAGCCTCAAACCCATCACACTCAAAGTCACACATACACTTCCACACATCTGCACCTACGCACTAGTGGGCCCAAATCAACATTCACAAACCTACACTCGCATGCATATTCCACACTCCATTTCCACTTCCACACAAACGCCATACAACACCCACACCCACACCCTTTTTTATGAAGATAACTGTAATCGATTAAAATCGATTTTATTTCAAGAAATGCAAATAATCGATGAGAAATTTAATAGATATTAATCGATTTTTTATAAAGATAACTTTAATCGATTAAAATCGATTATAGTTCTATGGATATGATTGTTTTTCATAAGTAAAATTGATTAAAATCGATTATTTAAGTTTAATTGATTAAAATCCATTACAGCTGCATGAATGGTAATATCTTCCCATAGAGAAAATCGATTAAAATCGATTATATTTCTATGAATGCTGAGTTTTTATAGAAAAAAATTGATTATAATCAATTATTTTTTTTGTAATCGATTTTAATCGATTTTTGAATGTAATTGCGCAATTTCGAAGAAAACAATTTAAATAGGACTTCCAAACATACTTTGAATGCCGAAGTTTGGTGCATCGGCAACTTCATAGTTTCTAAATACGAGAAGTAAGAAGAAGTGGTCGAAAAATATGGGTTTTGTGTTCGAATCTCGAGTAAGTCGCAAATTTTCGCGGTTTCATAAGAAAATCGATTAAAATCAGTGAGTAAGTAATAATAGATTAAAATCAATTAGTAAGTAATAATAGATTAAAACCGATTAACAAATGATGAGGGATTAAAATCGATTAATAGGTGATGAGAGATTAAAATCGATTAACAGGTAATGAGAGATTTAAATGGATGATTCAGTTGAAGTAATGCACGCAGATAAAAAGTGAAGAGTCATATGAGCACAGTTAATAGATGCGAAGAAATTAACGATGATTATAATCGGACGATTTTCATCAGATTTCCATCAAATTAAAAATCAAAATAAAATTGATTCTAATAATTTATTCTGTAGAAAATCGATTAAAATCTTTTTCTTCTTGATTAAAAATCGATTAAAAAGAGACGATTTTCATCTGATTTTAATCAAATTAAAAACCAAAATAAAATTGATTTTAATGGATTATTCTGTAAAAAATCGATTAAAATCAGTTGTTTTTTGATTTTTAATTTGATTAAAATCCGATGAAAATCGTCTCATTTTAATCGATTTTTAATCAAAAAAAATTGATTAAAATCTTGATTTTTTACGACTTTTTTTTACATGGGAAGAGCTCGACTACTGCTATGTATTAAGAGTTTCTTAGGTACTTTGGATTCTTTCATGGTCTAAGTTCATAACGGACTTGCATTTCGTAAATCGAGTTGGTTCCCTGAGATTCTTGGACTCTGCGAACACCTTGCAATCCTTGAATTCCTTAAATTTTGTGAGTTCAGTGAGTTCTGTGAGTTCCGTGGATTCCGTGATTTCTGTTTAGCTGTGCTTGTTGATAATTATATTTTTTATTGATGTTTGAGTTGCGAATTCCTCAAGAGTTCAGAATTCACGGAACTTGGACGCGTCTCGTCTCATTAGTGTTGTCATTGCTCAAGTACTGCGTCCATGTACAACTCCTAATCAATGGGAAGCACGCGTTCATAGTTCCAATCGAAAACTGGATGCTGATCTTCAAGGTCGATTGAGCTACGATTCAGTCTATCAGCGTACACGAATTCTACAGGAAGTCAAAGTCTTGAGGGTGAGGGTGTGGATGAGGGTCTTTGTTGAATCCTTAGCCTTTCCCTCACCCTCTTCTCTGTATTGGGTAACATTGTCTCCGATGTATACATGGATTTTTTTCTGTTATCAGTTATAAAATTAGAAGACATCCTTTAAAGATAAATAATATTATTATCAGTAGGGAATAAAAGGAATATTTCTTATCAAGTTTGAGTAATGACTTTGTTTGTCAGTCTTTCACGACCCAAATGAAAAAAAATTATTTAACTTCGTATATAAACCATGGTGCAGTGTGTATGCTGTACATTGTTACATTCACTCCGACGAAACAAGCCATTAACAACAGATACGCAAAAAGGCAGAATAACAAGTAATTTGCAAATAAGTCAAATAAGTAAGCATGACTCAATCGATCTTCTTTCATAGCGCTCCTCTTTTCTTTTTGGGATTTCTATAGAATGATCAGCAATGTCACATGTCCCAAGTGTTGATGCGGCGTCTCCCGCAGAAGGTGCCGCATCTCCAGCGAGAGATGTGAGCACTCCTCCAAAATTCAGGATGTGTAACACTATTCGTCTCGTCAGAACTCTATGTGATAGGACATAGAGAAAATGAGTGGTCACTGCATTCACAATATGTGCTCGCCGTTTAGGTCACACTTTACCTATTTTGCAAGCTATCTCTCATATCCATCAGGGTAGTTCAATTGGAAAGTTTCAATAGGATTCTGTTCAGACTCATACCTAATTTTCTAGGTATTTTTTGACGTAGTAGTGTGTTTTAGCTGGAAGAGTCTTATAAATATTGTTGCAGGCAACGATATATTCCTGCAGTGTTTCCAAATGTATATGATGGACATGCAGGGTTGTTCCGCACAGATATGAGCTCTTTTGAGAGCAAAAATATTCGTTACGCAAACATGCACATCTTCAAAATAAATATCATGAAAAAAGCATTTTCTTTAGACGATTCAGTCAAATTCAAGAAGAATCCTACGCACTAATACTATATATTATGGCACGAGAAACTAAATGTTATTCACCAGACTGGTATGGGTGGATAGGTCTCAATCCGATTCCTAACTATGGTCCTATAGTGAACAATATTAATCGTCTTTTTAATATTATAAATCAGACATTCCACACACATTATACGCCAGACTGGAATGGTTGGATCGGTACAAATCCAATTCCTTCATATGCTCCAATTGTAAACAATATTAACCAATTGTTTAACCTAATCAATCAGCATTTTCACGTTCCAAATCAACTTGAAACACCTGATTGGACAGGTTGGCTCGGTGTCAATCCAATCCCTTCGTATTGCCCGATTGTGAACAATATCAATAGACTTTTCGTTCTTGTCTCGCGCTTCGGTTAGTCTGTTCTTTGTATCCTTGAATAAAATGATATTCCAGAGATAAAAACGCAAGAGAAGCGTTGAAGCAATCAAATCATTAGTGATCATGTTTGACTAAGTTCAAGCATTTATAGATCCTTTTGAGTGTGTGATGATGAGTTTGCATTAGTGTTTAATCCGACGAAAAAGTATTTAACGAATTCACGCAAAACTATTTATAATTGTTTCATTTGTATATACTTAGGGTATACCAAAAGTTCTGATCACAGTTTTTAAAATTTAATAAAGCAATAAATATTGAATATTTTACTAAGGCGATATATAGTATAACGTCTCGTCTTTAATAATATATAGAGCAACTCTCTCTTAGACTTAGTTCTAACATCCTTTCAGACTAAATCTATAATTTTACAGACAATGCAAATATTATTAATTCTTGTTCAATGGTCAGGTACATTCTGGAACTTTCTATTGGTCACTCTCTCGTCACGTTTTATGACGTCATGTTCTAGAATATTACATTTCGATAGTATATATAAATGAGAGGTCGTTCGCTGTTAGTTCATTTGTACCGTACTCGACTTAAAATCGTAATAGAATTTGATTTCAATCTTAAAAGAAGACATTAAACATGACTGATGAATTCAATCGATATTATATCAAAATTCGAGCTATTTTGGGAATAGATTCAAAAACAATCTTTGACGAACTTACAGAGGCATTGGGACCTGATGCTCCATCATATCCAACAGTCAGAAGATGGGCGAAACGTTTTCGTGAAGGAAGAGACGATGTCACTGATGATCCTCGATCTGGTCATCCGATTTCGGTACTTACAGATGAAAATGTTGAACGCGTTCGACAAGTTATCGAAGATGATCCACACTCAACTTATGATGATATTATGGGTGAGACTGATCTATCACGTGGTACAATAGAACGAATTATTCATGATCGTCTAAAGATGAGAAAAGTTACATCACGTTGGGTTGCTCATCAACTTACTGATGAACAATAACAAAAACGACTTAGAATTTGTCGTCAAAATTTAGAGAAATTTAGAAATGGAACATGGCATTTATGTGATGTTATTACTGGTGATGAGACATGGATTTATCACAGGCAGATTGGTCGAAAGTCAAGCAATGCTACTTGGGTTGGCGAAAATGAACTACCAAGAACCATTGTTCGTCGGAATAGATTTGAACCTAGAACACTATTTTGCTTCTTCTTCAAATCCACTGGTTCTCTTCTCATACACAAAGTAGATAAGGGCAAGACAATCGATCATGACTACTATATTGATAATTGTCTTATACCTGTTATCAATGAAATAAGAAAAAAGGAAAAGTCATCACGTACTACATATAAAATGCTTCATGATAATGGTCCTCCTCATACTCATCCAGATGTTATTGATTATTTAATGGAGGAAGGAATCGAAATCATTCCACATCCACCATATTCACCAGATCTCGCACCGTGTGACTTTTGGCTAAATGATTATATCAAGAACAAGTTGACGGATCACACAAACGAAGAATCATTAGCTCAAGAGGTTTCCACCATAGTGAAGAATATTCCAATAAACGAGTTTAAAAAGACTTTCGATAAACTGTTAGAAAGAATGAAACTTTGTATCGAAAATAATGGTGATTATTTTGAGCATTTAATAAAATAAAATAACGAATGTCTCTTCGTTTCTGTATTGTGGTTTTATGTTGGCATGATCTTTTCTTGGCTATAAATACTATAGATTTAGTCTGAAAGGATGTTAGAACTAAGTCTAAGAGAGAGTTGCTCTATATATTATTAAAGACGAGACGTTATACTATATATTGCCTTAGTAAAATATACAATATTTACTGCTTTATTAAATTTTAAAAACTGTGATCAGAACTTTTGGTATACCCTAAGTAGATTTTAAAAAGGCTTACGACACTGTGTGACATGTCGAACTGATAGTAAAGCTACGTAGACTAGGAATGCCCACGGAACTGCTTAAAATGATTCTGTCATGGTTAAAGAATCGTCAAGCTTACATTATGTTTGGGAACGAAAAGTCGGATAGTTTCCACATTGATATTGGGTTACCACAAGGAAGCAGCATTAGTCGCTACCTTTTTATCGTTTATCATAGCGATTTAATACTATGTGCGGGTGCACACTCAGGACACATCTATGCAGACGATTTGGGCATATTGGTAAAGACCCCTATCACGAAAAAATTGTCAGCAACGTTGGACTTTCTCGGAAAAGATAGTTCGAAGGTTTGTAGTAGGATAGCAGAAAACGCGAGGAATTGGAAGCAACCCATCAACGTATAGAAGACTGGGACAGATATTCTATACTCAAATAGAACAACCGAAAATAGATGTCTATATGCAAGGAGAAAAGTTAGAGATCGTGAATACTTTTAAATACTTAGGCTTTACCTGGGCAAGGGTGTGGGTGTGGGTGGTGGATGTGGGTGGGTGTGGAAGTGAGACACTACACACACCCACACCCACTCCCACCCACCCACACTCACACCCACACTCACACTCACACCCACACCCACACCCACACTCACACCCACACCCTTCACAATGGGGAATTGTGAAAGATCATGTCTATGCGCAAAATCTTCATGATATAAACCATCTGAAGTCCTTCATTAAACAAAAGTTTGCATCGTCCCATGATAATATCGAATTATACCACGTAATCTATCATTCTGCCAATGATCGTTATCAGATGTATATGAACGCAGCATGCAAACAATTTGAACAATTACGTTAAAGTATTTTCGATCATTGTATACCAGTATTCTTTCTTTAATATCAATAAAGAAGTATGACATGCATTTGATAAGAAAATAGGAATATGAGTCTGCATTTATGTATTATCGTGAAAAGTTGGCTCTCCTTCATCGTACATTGTTTTTCCTATCTGTGAAAAAGTAAAATTTTTTTGTTGAAGTCAATAGTGGCACCTAACAATAGTTTTCTCAAACCTTGTCTGTGTAGATTTGAAGTGTGAACATATCTCTATTATTAGTAAAAGAAATCAGGTCGTTTGCTCAAGCCGTAACGAAGATATTCATTTTTTTCTCGGTACAGTGACTTTGAGGCCACTCTGTATTTTATAGTAAGAGCTATAAAAAAATTCCATTATTGGGTATTTGCATGGTATATAATTACTTTGCTCTTCTTAGTATTAATTTATTCATATCGTAAACGTTCAATCAATCTGTTTAATCTATTATTATCATATAATTCCATTTCTTCCCAATATTCATATGCTATATTTTCCAAGTTTTCCAATATATCTGGTTCACAGCTATCTAATTTAATTGATTCTTCAAACCATGCTTGCCAACGATAATAATGATTATCATTCATCAAAGTACTCATATGATAATCTACATTATGTTGTTGACTATCAAGAAGAACTTTAACTATGGCATCGTGATGTGTTATATAATGTAGAAGGTCCCAGTGAGCATTGACAGGTGATGGCTCTTGTATATAATCACCTGTACCTAACGATAGTACAAATATATTTTCTTTCTCATAGCCATATTCAACAGCTTTTGTATATGCAGCTAGTGTCGGATTATTCATTTGCACGCCACCATCAGTGAAGTTTGTACCATTTAAGCAATGTGGTTTAAAATAAGTAGGTGCAGCTGTTGTTGCCATTAGAACATCTACTAAAGGTGTTGAATTTAAGCGGCCAGTTTTTGTAAATAAATGAGTATAAATATCGCTACTTCTTACAGCTGGTATAACAATATCAGTTAAACATTCGTATAATGAAGTGTCACGAAAATAATGTTCAAATATTTTTCTTTTACCGTGGGAAGAATATTTAGATGAAAATGATATAGATAAATTACGAAGGCTATAAACAGCACGCTCTTTTTTGACAAATATATCGTCCCCACGAGTTCTATAAAGTTTCACTAATTCGGAAGTATCATAAGCAGGTTCTGTTAGACTATGTTTTTTAGGCATCGATAAACCAGCAGCGATAATAGCACCTGTTGATGTGCCAGCCATCATCTGAAACATGGATGAACATGTTCGATTCGTTTTTAGTTCTAATATACGTAACCAAATAGCAGCCATTATTCCACGAATACCACCGCCGTCGACAGATAAAATATTATATGATGAACATTCGTTACTACGTCTTCTGTGTTCGATAGTAGATTGTATGGATATTTCTTTTAATAATCTTTGTTCTCTTAGATTATTTGTTATGATTTGTTCTTTTGCTATTTCTTCATTAGCACGATTCAGGCTAACTGCCATCTGGATACTTGTCGCTGCTTTTGAGTAGTACACATAATTTCCTTTTCCTCTGTCGTTATTTGAGTATTTTTTACATTTGCGCTGTGCTTTAGCTAACAGATACCATGTCTCATCTATTTTAACTTTTTCATTTGATAACAATTTGCCTATTCGGTTTTTAACTTCAGTATATCTGCTTAACATTATTAAACATCGGCAATAATCGAATGTTTCAATGGGGTTAGGCTTGTGTCTAAGATGCTCTAGAGCCACATAACAATAATATATTTCTTGCCATTTAGATAATAAAAGTAAATGTTGATGGAACTGAAGAGTTTTTGTTTGCTCAGTGTAACCAGAAATCAATCTTTTATATAATTCTATTTTTTCGGAGTTTGTTTTGGATGTTTGTAACAGTCTATAGCTATGGCTGATGTCAAACGCGGTATACGCACAGTTTGTAATGCATATAGCAATAATATTTTGTCCTGGAAAACCACATATATAATATATAGCCGTTGATATTGCGTGATTTCGTTCAAGTGGCACAAATACTTGTTTGCCATTATAATTTCCTATTTGACACCGTTGAAACTTCATTTCACATGCAATCGATAAATATGGCAAGAATTCAACAACTAATATAGGTCCTTCGTTATTTAACCAATTAGAAACACGATCGTATGGCGCTCGATTCATTTGTTCAGGCGAAATTTTATGAAATACTTCTCTACATAAATAACTTCGGTCAAAACCTGACATACCAGGCAGCAAAGTCTCTAAAGCTGTAAATTCATTCACCGATACATCATTAATTTTAAGTACATGTTTACATTCTAAAATAATGTTATCGAGAAACAAAACTTCATCAATACCATAAAGATCGATATCATGATCATATAAAGGCGAGTGTTCTTCAGTGGATACCAGATAATCCATTTCAAACTCCATGTTATCGCTCATTCTCACAATGAAGTACCTATCAAATGAGTGTTAAATAGATTATGATGTTAGTCTAGAACTTATACTTTGCCAACATATAAAGAGATATTAATATATCGTGTGTAAAAAGTTTGATTACACTGTCGAAAAAATTTATTGACAGAATGTTACAAACTGAATCGCTGAGCAATTGATCACTGTGAAGAAAACACACTCCAGTACAGAATGAAGTCTTTTAATAGAACAATCCCTCGAAAACAAATATATTAATAAATATGGAAACCTCGGATTTAAATCCGAGAGTTATGTGTGTGCCAATAGGCATATTATCTTAGATGATATCTTTTCTTTCTCAGTGTGCTCTTGTAATATCAATGATATGCTGTGTTCTTAATCGCGTTCCTCTCACGTTTATCTCTTTATGATGAAACCTTGTTCCTGTCTGTCGTAATGCGCTTCTCATTCAATTGTATATCTGTTCTCTCCTTGGCATCATTACTTGTTCATTCGTACGTTATTGTATCTTTGGCCTCATCATCTGTCTTCGTATCATTTCCTATTCTACTCGTACATACAAACGTGTCCTTCATATGTAAACGATATGGTGGTGTGATGTGCCAAGAAGCACGTCATCTTTGCTATTTATGCTAATTGTTATTACGTCCTACGACACTAACGTACATATCTTCTCCATGTCATTGGATCATCAAGGGTGACATAAGAAGATGGACGTCCTTTCTATAACAACTGTTGACTAATCTCATAATGCGTAATATTCTATTATATCTTTCCTCTTTTCTTTCTCCTTTTTGTATTGTAATATTTATTCTCTCTCTTCTCTCCCATCCTTCTCCTATATAAGCTCATGTTGTGTATTAGATTGTTACATTTGAATGTAGAGCATAGTCGAATAAACATCATGCCCATCACTATGGGATCAAAGACATAAATATGCCTCTCCATTTGTCATTAACGAAAAATATATATATACTTTATATAATAATATATATATTTTTTTTTCGTTACAATGTGTACTTCAAAAAGTGAATTAGAGAGATTAGTCATCCTAGAATGTGTGGACATCAAAATTATCCTCGCAAACCTTTCTTATAAACGCATGAATTCTATTGGCTACTGCTCAATCAATAGGATTTGGAGGTGAATACAGCTCAGATTTGAACTCTTCACCTTGATTTACCCTAAGAAAGTCGTTTTTCCTATAACTTGATTTCTATCGGTTACTGTTCAACCAATGGGATTTCGAGACGAATGGAGCACAGATTCGAGTTCTCCATCCCAGAAAACCTCGAACTATCATCTCTGTGATTGGAAGATAGAGCTCTAATTGTGGATCAATTAGAGCGTGGACAAAAACAGAACCGAATTCCGTTTAAGTATCTTTGCAATGGCTGAGTTGGCTTTCTTGTTTCCTTATGTTTTATATACCATTTTGTAGCTCGTGAAATTCGCTACCGAATGGTATATAATAGTTGCGGTTTTATTCGACTATGATAGGAAAAGTTGTCCACGAAAGCGGGAAGGGGTCGATTTTCGCATAGGAAGGCATAGGAGAAAATGACTATTTTTGCAATAACTCAGGAATGGCTCGGCCAATCATTCTCATCTTCGAACTCCACCGAGACATTGTTGAGACTAAACTGTATAGAAAATTTCATCGCGATTGGGCTCTCCTTTCAAAAGTTATCGTGTAAACGGCCTGACGGACACACTGACCGCTTCTAGAGTCTACTCACTTTTTGAGTACACAAATAAATGCGGAAACTTTGGATTTAAATCCGAGAGTTATGTGTACTTCAAAAGTAAATCATACAAATCAATCATCCTAGACTGTCTGAATATCAAAATTATACTGTGAAATCTACCATTTAAAATGTTGATTTCTATTGCGCGTTGCCAAACCAATAGGACATGGGACCGAATATAGCTCAAGTTTGAACTCTTTCCCTTGATTTACCCTAAGAAAGTCGTTTTTCCTGTAACTTGATTTCTATTGGTCACTGCACAACTAATAGTATTTCGATGGAAGTGCAGTACACATTCGAGTTCTCCATATCTGAAAACCTCGAAGTATCATCAGTGTCACCGGAAGATAAAGCTCTATTTGTGGATCAATTAGATCGTGGACCAAAATATAACCTAGTTCTCTTTAATTATCCTTGTCTTAGGTAAGTCAACCTTCGTGTTTCTTTATGTTTTATATATCATTTTGTAGTTCTTGAAATTCTCTATCGAATGGTATATAATAGTTGGGGTTTTAATTGACTATGGTAGGAAAAGTCTTTTACGAAAGTCGCGATGGCTCCATTTTTCTACAGAAAGCTGTAGGGAAAAATGGGTATTTTTGCAATAACTCAGGAACGGCTCGGCCAGTCCTTCTCATCTTCGAACTCGACCGAGAAATTGTCAAGACTAAGCTGTGTAGAAAGTTTTATCGCAATCTGACTCTGCTGTCAAAAGTTATCATGTAAACAGCCAACCGGACGGACGGGCACACCGACTATTCTATAGTGTACTCACTTTTTGAGTACACAAAACTATGATTCGGTTCAAAATTAATATCAGATTCTGAATCAGCGTTAAAAACTGAGTCGATTTATGTATTTTGTGAATAATTATGAACAAAACATTTTTTTCGAAAAACCCCCCCCCCCCCCCCCCCCCCTCAGGGATGGTCTGGTCAAAAATCACAATATTTCGATAACTTAGCCATTTCTTGACGGACCATTCCCATCTTCGAACTCGACAGAGATATTGTAAAGACTGAACTGTATAGAGAATTTCATCGTGATCGGACTCTCCTTTCGAAAGTTATCGTGTAAACGGCCGGCCGGACGGACATACTGACCGATTCTAGAGTGTACTCACTTTTTGAGTACACAAAAACACATGATGTCTTTTTGGGATTTTCTGAAAATCCGATTAAACACAGGTATGGGTATGGGTGTGGGTGTGGATGGGTGTGGGTGGGTGTGAGTGTGGGTGTGGGTGTGAGTGAGTGTGGATGTGGGTGTGGGTGAGGGTGTGGGCGGGGTAGTGCCCTGCGGTTCCTATAATTACCCGGGAACCGAACCGGAACCGACGGTTCCGGTTCGGTTCCGGTTCCCAAATCGAAAAAAAGCGGTTCTCATTTCGGTTCCCAAAATTTGTCTTAGGAACCGGTGTTTTTACATTGATATAGAAAATATTGAATAAGATATTTTTTAATTTCTGTGTTCCTTTTTTGAGATTATTCATATTTATTTTTTCATAAAAAAGTTTGAAAAAATACAATGAAAGAATGAGAAAACATATTATTATAAAATATGTTCACATGAAATTATTAATATTACAAAGTTTAAAAATAAATCTACTTCATCATTTTCTTCGGAATTATTAGGGCGTGAATGTGAGTGTGGGTATGAGTAGGTGTTGGTGTAGGTATCACTGGCTGCAAAAATACATGTAGTCTCACTCACAGTCACAGCAACACCCCACCCTTAAGTTCTTATTCCTTTCAATAATTTATTTTAGGGGTAGCAATTGCTAACTATTGCATTGCTGGCGTGCCGCCTATGGTTTTAAATATGAGCATGAGAAATACACAAAATCCATCACTACACAGGTCATAATCTGTGCCTACCAGTGGCGTATCCAAGGGGGAGGCAAAAGGGCTATTGCCCATTCCATTTGGAGGTTTGCCCATCGTAATTTTTGTGAGTAAGCTTTTGCTCATTGAAATTTTACTTTTTCAGAATTGTTTATTTGTTTTTTGAATTAAATAGTAATTATATTTTTTTCCCTATGAATCACATGCATTCTATGCTTCTTCTTTTCGAAAAGAATTAAGAAAAGAAGAAAAGAATCGTTCCTGGTATTTTAACTATAAGTATGGATGAAAATGCGTTCGGTTTTATTGGTAAAATACTAAACAAGTAAAGGTAGAAAAGGATGGATCAAAGAGAAGAGAAACAAGAACACAGAGCAGAGGAACACATCCAAGCGTGTGGGTATGGCCAGTCGACTTGATACTTCGAGATTTATTTGCTCATATGGCTTCTATCAGTTATTAGAAAAATGTG